TATATATATATATATATAGAGAGAGAGAGAGAGAGATACATATATATGTGTATTGTGTAAATTTAAAAAAATGTGTGTGTGTATAATTGTATATTATATTACATACTGATGATGCACTAGGTTACATTTATTAATTTCATTGTCATCAAATCTTTTTTAGATAACATGGATATAGTTTGCAATTAGTATTCCCACATTTGCTATATTACAGCATCTGATGCATGCTGGAGTACGACGCACCCCTTAATGTTACATCAAAGCAAATTTTGATTGCTAATTTAACAAAACAGCCAGACAGCCTTTCATATCTGATTGGATGGTTCTCATTCTGAAATAATGCCAAAATGCTGCAGATTTAAAGCCAATAGCTTGACACCTTGCGTTACACTGTCACCCATTTTGTCCAGTCCCCTAGGCGATGTGTAGTTTCACACATCTGCGCTGTTGTTAGTAGTGACTACTTCACTACTTTACTTCATGCACACTCACAGTCGGTGAGGTGGGAAGGTCTCCGTGGCAACCATAACAAATAACACCCTTCCCATTTATACTCTTGTGTTCGTGAAATTTGATGGCTGGAGGAGTCTACTCCGATCATCTTTCATCCCATATTACTCTTTCATCCCATATTGCGCAGCCTTCATCACTCTCCCTCCACCACCACCATCATCATCATCATCATTTACCTTGAAGGGGGTGAGGAGGAGGTGCGCCAGAACACATCAGACGCTCCTCTGCGGGTGGAAAGGGAGAGAAGAGGTGACTTGCCGATTTTCTCAGATCAGCAGCGCTGATGACTTCTCTCAGGGGGAGCTGACCCAATTCGCCTGGGTGTTTATCACCGGCACAACAAGGTCACGGCTGACAAAGCAGCGCTAGTGTGGTCTCTTTATGCTGTGGGGTGGGATGGGAAGGCCCAGGGCGGTTGAGGAGCTGTTTAACTGCTCTCTGCGTTCAACTGTTATTACACAGATTTTAGAAAAGAACAAGATGATTTTTTAAATAAAAAAATCTGTTTAAATCTGTGGTTGTCAGTTCTTCGGGTGATGCTCCATTTTGAAACTTCTCCAGTGAAGGAATAGTTCACCTAAAAATGAAAATTTGCTGAAAGTTTCCTCACATTCAGGCCATCCAAGATGTAGATGAGTTTACTTCATCAGAAAAGATTTGGAGAAATTTAGAGTTACTTCAATCCGCTAATCAATGGATGCTCTGCAGTGAATGGGTGCCGTCAGAATGAGAGTCAAAACAGCTGATAAAAGCATCACAATAATCATATATAGGCCTATCAATAATATATTTCAATAATAATATTTCTGTGTTGGCACGTGTAACATTTCATATTTAGATTGTACTTTAAGTTAGTAATACTGCTTTGTAGGAGCAATGTGAAAAGAATAGTTCATTTCGTGGCTTCGTATGTGGTACGCTCCTTTAGTGTATGTCTAAGTGATTTTTTTCCCCTGTTGCATCTTTCGTAAGGTGAAAATTGTAAGTGTTATGATTTAGAAAAGTAATATGCCTCCTTGAGCCACACGATTTGCGGTATTATTCATATTCATAGCACAAACAGTGCGTGATGGGTTACATGCCAAATGACATGCTTTATAGATTTGTTAAAACAATATAATGGTGAACACCACTAATAATTGCACCCAGTGGACATGGAAGATGTTTCAACAGAGCTTTCAAACATCATACACAGACTACAGGTGCAATAGAACCAGAGTTATTGAGTATTTCATCCGGCTCTGAATAGATGTTGATGGGTTCTGAAACCCTTGAATGTGAGTGCCTCTCACATTATTATATGTAGTGATGGATTTCTAGGGGCAAAGATACATCGTTTTTATTATTGTAAAAGGATGATGTTCGTCTTTTACTGAAGCACTGCTCTCCTGTTTTACTGCTTTTCTCTCTCTCTCTCAATGGCTTTTTTTGCCATTATTTTCACATTTTATTTCATTCAATCACGCTTGACGGCACATAAGGTAGTAAACAACCTGATTTATGTCTCTGATCAACACACTTCTAACTATACCACCTTAAGAAGAGATCAGTGAAAAGAGCTGGTGTTTTTCCTCTATCTGTGCCATTTCATCCGCTCATCTCTCTGGCTTTATCTGTATCTGCCACAGGCGTTTAGATGGCAATGGAGGCAGTGCCAGCTCAAAGATTTAGATGGTTAACAGCACTATGGTAAAGAAAACACAAACAATATTAAGAAATATGAGATTGAATATAGACACAATGCAACAACATTAGCATATGAGGTTTTAGGGAGAGGCAACATCTCTTGTCTCCTTTCAGTTCATTATGTTCTCATTTGGATAGTCGGCCCAAAAATGTTTCATTATTCATTTTTGGGTGGACTGTCTTTTTATATTTTAGAGGACAATGGCAAAAATGAAAAGAGAGGAGGCAGTGCTTCCATGTCACTGTGATTGGCTAATTAGATCATCAGTATGATAGTGGCTGACTTTCATGTTTGCAACCAGTTCACTAATTGGAATGAATAGTTCAAAATAGCAAAAACAGACTAACTGCAAAGTGAACAGCTCACACATTCAGACTTCTCTACTTTTACTTGAGGTATGTTTACATGATGGAAATTTGTTAAAAACTGAAAAGTTTTCCCTTTGCGTTTTCGCGTCAAGACAACCCCGTTCACACACAGATGTGTGAAAACGGCTTAAAACTCTATTATGCATGCCAGGCCAGTAGTTGGCGATGTCACTGTAAAGAAACACTATGTGGCCACGTAATATGCATGCTTATGACATCACCGATTTCACATATTTGTGTTTTTTTGAAGACAATTACGTTTCATTTCAATATCATTTTCAGAATCTTGCACTTTAAAACATTTTTAAAAGTTTGCATTTTCAGGCCCCCAAAATGCTCCTGTTGTGTAAATGAAAGGCATGTTAAAAAGTATTAAAAAGTAATGTAAAAAATGACATATTAAAATTTTTTATTTTAATATGTAATTTTATAAGTTTTTAATAATGTAAAATTATTTTTTTATTGATATTTGTGTTTTTAATGTGTCACAACGTGCTTTTTACTGTATTGTACTTTTTATTTTTTTTATTTAATAAAAGTGCATATTAAAAAAGTTAAATATATTTTAGTTTATACTTGTTGATAGTACAGAAAATAGAAGACTTTGACCCAAAAACTGTAAATGAAATTGAAATATGAATTTACATCACACTAAGCAAACTCAAATGCACAGACTCATTTTAAATGTCTGCCACAATTCACTGGTCTTCCTCATTCAGTCCTTCACGGTTTGTGTGATTCTTTTGCTATTCGCCATTCTTGTTCTGTTCCTAAGAATTAATTAGGACACATGGATCAGCATGTAATTTGTTTGTTAATTAAATGCACGTTTTTAACATCTTACTCTGTGCTTCTCCATGTACCCCCTGAATGTACTCTGCTTTTGCATTTAGCCATTAAATGACAGAATCACAGTTTTGCATCAGTAATGCATATTCATAACACCTCCTATAGCATAACACCTGCTGGGCAGAATTCATTACTCTTATCGCACATGTTTATACATTTAGCACATTTAGCATATTTAGTTGCACTTTACATCATTTTCTTTGATCATATATCCCTTTGAGGGTAGACAGATCTTCAGGATGCTACTTTATATTCCAACTTATCATCTTAAGCTTCCTGAAGCTATTTTTTTAAATAGCTGTGGTTGTCTCTGTGCGGTCCGGCGTATCATAAATCATTAATAGACTTCATCGTGGACATCACAGCTTGCTGCACTTCATAGTAAGGGGCTTCAAAGACGCCAGGGTCCTGCCCCCTAACCCCCCACTGGCAAAAGACCACCAGGCCTTTGGGAGATGAGAGATCAATGGAGATCTCATGCCGAGCCAACGGCGATTTAACATTAGGCCAGTACCCCTGTTTTTCTTTGGCTTTGGTGGGATGAGGGACCATAATCTGACTCTCCACCTAAAGGCCTGCCAAATCTGTCTGGTGAACTGGTGGTAAGAGACCGATCGGAGTGTTGCGGATCCATGAACATTTGTGTGAAGTGGTGTCACTCTGATAACATTCATCACTTCATGATTGCTTTTAAATATGCTGTATTTTCGCATTTTAGGTAGCAGGCTTATCACTATAAATGGGGTCTAGCAATGCCTATGCATGAAAGAAATTAATGTTTTGTTTTTTTGTTTTTGTTCTGGAAGCCCATTTCCGCCAAAATAAAGGTAATTGCGACCTTTTTTTTTTTATCTCACAATTTTGCCTTTTTTTTTTTTTTTCGCAATTGAGTGTTTACATCCCACAATTCTGATTTTTCTCTCAGAATTGCGTGTCATGTAATCGCAATTGTGAGTTATAAAGTCAGAATTGCGAGATATAAACACTCAATTATAAATTTAGAAAAGCGAGGGGAGATATACTCGCAATTGTGACTTTTGCAAGTTTATATCTCGCAATTCTGAGGAAAAAAACCCTCAAAATTGTGAGTTTATATCATGCAGTTCTGAGAAATTCAGTTGTGAGATATATTCTCGCAATTGCAAGAAAAAGAAATCAGAATTGTGAGAGGAAAAAGTCGCAATACCTTTATTTTTATTCAGTGGCTTAAACAAGCTTCCATACATTTTATTTAAGTAGAGATGATTTACAAAAAACGACAACAACATTTAACAAGTAGGGTTTTAAGCTATTCAAATTTTTGGATTCTACTAAATTTCTATTTAAACTTCTGTAACAGTTTGTTGATACCAAATAAATGCTGTTTTGTACCCTGAGGTAATATGACTGAGGTTTCATATTTTCACTACCGTGGAACAGAAATGCCCTTGTCTTGACATCAGTAGACAAAACCAGAAATCGCAGTCACTCAAAATAGTGTCATAATGAAGGAAATTGTCACTATGATAGATTGAGGCCCTGTGTCTCATCGTATGTCTCTCGTTCTCATTCCCTCTCCTCCCTCGCTGATGCTGTAGAGTGTTAAAGTGCTGACTGTGTTGAATATCCTCTCTAGTTGTACATGATAGATTGTGCATTTCCTCCACAGTAGCGGTGAATGATCGGGTGACAGTAAATGCCTGTGTTTTTGTCATGTTAATAATCTCTCGGCCAGGTATGCCATTAATACGGCCTGGTCTAATCTTGTTGCCATCTATCACTGTAATCCAAGTGCATGAGTACGGAAGAGTTCCCCTCGTTTTTCACCACCCGTTTTTTTTTCTTCATGGGCTCTGGCTACTTGACTTTCTATATGCCACATGGAAATTTAAATCTTCTAGGCTACTCAGACACCTGAACGCTTAATTATTAGTGGTGTTAGCCATTATTCGTGTTGTATTTGGAGTTATGTATCTGAACAAACCCAAAATCTGAAGTATTAGACTTTGTTCCATAACTTCTCCCTCACTATTTGTGGTGCAAAAAAAATTCTGCTACAAAATATTCAGTGTCTTAGTAACCTAATAGCAACGCTCTGGCAATCACTCTCAAACTCCCTGGCATTGTGATGAGTTTTTCACAGGAACGCAGCACTCATATTTTCTTCAATGTGTTTTTCTCCTGTCCACCATCATATTCCCCTTACTGAGAGCTGTATTTTTTATCCTAGCAGTAGCAAATTACTCTGCACTCTCAGCGGGCATAATTTCGGAGGGCCTGTGGGGAGGAGAGAGAGGAAACTCCCATTACAAGGGAAACAGTTGTTCCTTTCCCAAGAGAGAAACATCCATCAGAGAGCTCTGCGCTGTGTGAACAAAACTTAAGGAGTCTGGTTAAAGCTAGAACTAATATTCTTCACTCTTCCAAAGGTCAAAGGTCATGCACTAGTTTTTCTAAATTACCTACTAGTGTAAATCACTTGACCCTATGCTAGTTGAAGGTGTTTACAGTATGAATATGTGGCTGTGTATGTGGAATTAGTTACATGTAAA